ACAACAGAAATAAAATAATCAATAAAACAAGTACTACCCTACGGTATATACAAATCTAGCAATCAATTAAAAAATGATAGAAAAACTGAAACAACAATTGAACAAGCAATAAGACGATAAAACCAAAAAAAATCATCAATCAATCAAATAAATAAAGCAAGTCTTTAAAAAATAGATAATAATTAATCAAAATTATTCAAATAAGCATGAAAAATCAAACAAGCAATTAAGCAATAAATATAAAATTCAAAATCAATTGGTAAGAATTGTAACAGGTTTCAAAGTTTAATTTCACTTGTCAACAAACTTCGACTCTGTTAGTCTGATGTTTATAGATAAATGTTTTCCAGCCATGGTATTTAACAATTATAGAAACGTGTATAATTTTGGGTATGTAACTCAGTGCTCCCAACATATTTTGGATATCGATTTCATGCCATATAGTAATCAAAATTTTACAAAATACAAACTACATTTTGTAGGATATACTTACGTATGTATATACAATGAATATATGTATATTTATATGTATATATAATGTTGGTATGTATGTATATATATATATATATATATATATTTATATTTATATTTGTGTATTTTATATAAATACACAAATATGTAACGTGACTGACTGGCTGGGTTCTGCTGGGAGCCATTTGTGTTCGTCTTTTTCTTTTGAATCACTGTTCTCAGTCTCAGTTCAGGTTCGTTAACATAACAATTTCAACGGTTTTGTTGTTTTGTTTGTTGCAAGAGCTGGCCTCAATTCTGTTGGGAACGCATGTTTTTATTGCTTTTATATTATATTTTATTCAAATAATATATAATATAAATATAGATAAATATATACATATATATATATATATATATATATATATATATACACATATAATATAATTGTTATACGAAATTGAATTTTAATATTGGTCCCAATTATTGATTGACAGTTGACTGACATGAATGACATCATAATCATACATATGTTTCGTGTTGAGTTTTGTTGCGTAATCTCGGTGATCAGCAGATAACAGTTGTTTTATATATTTTTATCAATTTAATATCAATATTTATACATTTATAATAAAAATTATTTTTTAATATCACAACCAGATGAAGTTCTATAAACGATTTCTTATTATTATTGTTATTTTGTCATTTATATGTTTCATATCTTACCAACGTTATTTTGCAAAAGTAGTTTTCTTGAAAGAAAATGAACAGGTGGCCAATTTTCCAGGATTCCTCAACAATTACCACAACAAAGAAGAAGATAGATTCGCGGGTGGTGTTGACAATTCTACTTCTTCATCTGCTGTTAGTTTGGGGCCTCACCAGATTTATGAGGGACATGAACTTGATGATGGTGCTACATTTTTATTAGAATCTTCTGCTGACATTAAAACACTTGATTTACTGGACCATGTTGAAAAAAGGTTCAGGAAGGGAGAGATTTTGGAATTGAATTTTGATCACTTTGAGGAGGATGATGGCGTTCAAGGTTTTCTTCAGGTATTGACTTTCAATATTTTATTTATTTTTTTGTTAGGAATTAAGAATGAACTATGAATTATTCATCATTGTTATAAGTTTTATTCATTGTGATAACAGGCAATTGTTGTGCCACATTCCCACAATGATCCAGGATGGTTGAGAACAATTGAAGAATATTTTGCGGAAAACACAGAATCAATTCTGAATAACATGCTCGAGAAGTTAATTGAGCATCAAGAAATGACCTTCGTTTGGGCAGAAACAGTATTTCTTTCTATGTGGTGGAATAATTTAACAGATGAAAAAAGAAAAGTAAGATTATCATTATAGGGATTTTTTAAAAAATCTAATTGAATTCACAAAACATTTTCTGTATTTTATAATTATCTATAATATTGTTGTGATATTAAATATCATTACAGATATTCAACATGCTTGTTGAAAGTGGACGATTAGAGATAGTTGGAGGAGGTTGGGTGGTGCCCGATGAAGCTGTCACTCATTACTCATCATTAATTTTGAATTTCCTTGAAGGACATCGTTGGCTGAAAAAAAAAATTTTATTCAAACCAAAAATCACATGGTCTCTTGACCCCTTTGGATATTCATCATTTTTTCCATATCTCTACAATAGAATTGGTTATAAATCTTCTATAATTTTGAGGGTGAATACATACATCAAAACTGAGATGGCAATGAAGAAGTTGTTGCATTTTAAATGGAGACAGGTTTGATACGTTTTTGTTACAGTTATTTTAAATTATTTTGGATGGAGATGAGTTAAAAATTATTACATTTCAATGAGAGTAGTTTTAAATACTTTACTTTTCTCTTAACTTTTTATTTTATTTGAAATTTTTCAAGTACAGTGTTTAGAAAGTTTTAATTTGCAATACAGAATTGGGACAGGGATGGTCTTTTTGATTCAGAAACATTTATGCTACCTTTCATGTTGTACAACATTAAACACCAGTGTGGTCCTGACAAGTTAATTTGTTTGCAG